ATTTCCAATTTCGCTCCGGACAATTTAGCCCTACATGTATTACGTCCAGTAACGTTTGTATTTTCGTTTTTCGATTCTTTTGCCCCTTGCTCTGTGTCATAAAACCTATGTCTTTATTTTGAAGCTATTTGCCGTGCATTTTGTTTGCAGCTGGTCTTAATTTTTTACCGCCATCTCTTTGCTAGTTTGATCATTACTTCTGCTTCAGTTGCATAAAATAGATCTTTCAAAATTCAACTTGTTTCGATTAAAATTTCATCTTTAATGTTTTGAATTGATATCAGAACACTAGACAGCACACTGCAAAAGTCGAGTGCTAATTTTTCAGACGCCACGGATCGATGTAATTTTTTATACTTGAGGGAATTGAAATTATATACAAGGAAGTTAATTCTAACTTCGAGTTACATTCTTGGATTGCATAAAAAAGTGTCTCATCGAAACGGAAAACTGTTATTTGAGCTTAGACTTCTAGTGATCAATTACTTTTCGAAATTAGAGCCTTCAAAACATCAACTTAGTTTTACATTTTTGACTCGGGTAGCTTCCTGTATTGATAAAAATTCATGAGCTGGTCTCAAGAATCAAATCGATTGTTAATGCTTGTTGAACAGGTCTTGTTAGTGTAATATAATCTCGAGCTAGGCCAGTCAATTCATTCTTTGAACTGGTTTCGCTTTTTCCTTAGTTTCTAGTCCGATTGGGCATTTTGGGAATTATTTAGCTGCTTTGGGTTGTGTTTCGCAGTGGTGTTGTGTTACCCTGAAAGAGCATTTTTCATTTGGATCTCCCCCTCAAATTGAAAAGTTAATCCCCTATTATAAATTAAAGCTAGTGAATAATAATTCAGTGCCACAGCAGTTATTTCTTTAACTGACTTGTACAGCTTTAGCCATTGCAATTGTTGCACAGTTTTTTGGGCACCAAAATTCAATTATGTTTTCTTTCACCTTTATTCTCTATCAAGTTTTTCAATGTACCAAGTCAAATTGACGCAATTTAATGCTGCTTATATTCACATTTTCAGTATTTATCACTTTTTTTTTTAAAAAAACTGAATTTGTATTTTTTGAAAAACGATCCTTAATTTTTCAAAAAAATTCAAAAATTAAGAAAAAACAGAATACAAACAATTAATAATTTTATAGAAGTTATGATGGAAATTTTGAAACAAAAATATTTCAAACACCTTAGGGGCAGTCGGATCATTCAGACGTTCGCTCTGATACAAGCATTCTTGTTAATTTATAGATTCTACCTAAAATCTACCATTAGATTTGATTATTTATGCTCTGAAAGAAGAAGGCAGCCTTTCCTGAACACATGGCACAATTAAAAAACTCAATCATGTATTTCAAACCCTAAATGTGACAAAACTATTCCTCAGTGGCTTGTTAAAATGGTTGATGTTAGGCTTCAGTTATTTGAACGTAAGTTTAGAAGTATGTAAGTCGACTTCCACGGCAAACTTCTTAAATAAGTAATCCAATTTTATACCCTAAAATAGCTCTGAAAGTGCCCTGCGATAAAGCGTCTTCGATTTTCCAACGATTAGTTATCAGTTCCGTGAACTTCCCTGATTGTAAAGAATTACTTTAAAATTAAGCCGTTGACAGCTCCTGAAAGTCCTAGAAATTACTTCGTCTATTCAGTTTGAATTAAAATTAGTTCAAAAGTTCAAATTGAGTTTGAATTAAAATTAATTCCGTTAAATAAGCAAATTAAATACTCGTTTTTTTTCGGACTCTTTGTTCAATTAAAAAAAGGGGTAATGAAAGAAAAATTAATTTTTATACAACAAAAATCAGATGAAGCCACAGAGAATTGTTTTAACCGCTTCATCTTTGTTTAATTTTATTTTTTTTAGACACAATTTGTTTACTTTTTTTTCATACTGTTGAAGTGCTATTTTTCGTCAAACAACAGTACTAGCTACTTTTTAAAAAGATGTTTTTTGCTCCCAAGATTCCAAAGCAGACTTCTATTTTGTTTTTTTAAGAGTACTTTTTTCTGAAGAACAGTTGTATATCATTTAAATAAAAGTAAACATTGGTGTACATTTTGGAGCTGCTTTTGTTTCCAATGAGCCATTTTGTCTTAGTTCTCGTTCACCGGATGGGAATAAAAGGGATAAAATTCGTTTAGAAAGCTATCTATTCTTTGTAAATTGAGAAGACCTGCTCAAAACAGATTTCCGATTTTAAGTACTTCTATTATTGATAATGCTTGTAATTTCCTTTTTTTCTGGCGGATTAAGAAAATCTTCTAGGCTTTATAGCATTGTATTTATCTTGGTATCATTTTTTAAAAAATTTTCCTATTGGTAAAAAAACCGAGCGTCAAAAGCTACCAAGAATTATTTGGTATGGTTATTTTGCACTGAAATTTGTCTTTGCTTATATACTTTGCCACGCAAAACCACCTACCACAAATAATCATCGGACTGGGTTGAATGATATATCATATTAAAGCCCTTTTAGTCGTGATTTGAACGACATTTAAAAAATTTTCGAAAAATTTTTTCTCAGTGTTGAGAAAAACCGGCTTGAAACTTTTGATTTTTCGTTTTAATTCGAGCAAATAAAGCAAGCGAGCATGCTTACAACAGCTGAGTTAGGAGAAATTCAAAATTTAAACCCTAAAATTTTAACTATAAGCAAGTAAAATTAAGTTTTGGAGTTTTGTAGCTCCATTCTGAAAACTTCACAAAAAATTGGAAACTTTTCTGCAAAAAAAAATTGAAAAAAAAATTTAAATCTTTTGAACTTTTTTGTTTTGTTTTTCTAGTCATTTTTCTAAAAAAAGGTTTGTGTCTCATTTGCCTGTATTACTATGAATGTCAAATATGCCTAAATATAGTTTTACATCAGACTTTTTATCACCACACGCAGAAAAACTAATTCGAAAAAAAGCTTTATCTTGTAGTTTTTTAAACAATATGGTCAAAACATTCTGTGCTATTTGCACAGTAACTGGCTATTCTTGTTTCTTTTTTAATATTAGCGATTCGCTTAAAAATCTGAACAAAATGGTTGTTTTTTGGGCTTTTTAAACGTTTTTGTTCAGATTTGTTTTTGCAAAAGGACACTGGTGAGAGTAAAACCTTCGTATTTGAAATTTTATCAATTTCTTTTTCCGAACAAAAAGTACATAGGTTAACTTGAAAGTTTTAGAAAAAACTACCTACTAAAAACTTCTCAGCGGCGTTTTAATCGCTATAAATACTTTCTAGGCTCGATCAAGTTGACGCATTTTCTTTGATAATTTTTTTTTACAGTTTAATTAAAGCGCATCCAGTCGTGACAATTCAATTTACTTTTTTAAAAACTAAAAATCATTTTTTTCTTGCTACTAAAAACAGCCAAAAATCCAAAAAATTTTTTTTAATTGCATGATATTTTTGCTGCGCAAATAAAACAAAATTTTTTGACCGCACTAACAAGCATTTCTTAAATCAGCAAATATTTTTTCTTGCTGTTGAATTTTTGGCTATTTTTGGCAGCAAAAAAAATTGAATTTGAGTTTAAAAAAACCAGGCTAGTTGGTAATAAAACTTTTCAATTAATCATAAAAAATACTTTAGATTTGAAACATTCCCCTCACGCAAGGTTTTTTCCAAAATATTAAATAGAAGTTAGTTCGAATCTAGTAACGCCTTATATGTGCCTGATAACGCTCGCCCTTGCATTTCGTAGAAACCCTAGTTATTAACTTTGCCTCGATTCAATTTGACCTTCATTATCTTTCAAAGTAATGCAACCCAAAGTCTTTTAGAGTGCTTAGCTCATAGCAGCAATATCTTGCAGATGAATTGTTTTTGAAAATTATGTCAAAAAAGCAATTTTTCTGCTTTTGCTTTAAAAATCGGATGAATAAAACTTAACTTATGTTGAAAAAGCTATACGACTTTAAAAGTCGCAATAAAAATTTCAAATCAAATGCAATAACTAAGATCATAACTCTAGCATAAGTCATGTTCCTAGAATGGAAAACATTTTTGAAAGTTTTTAGGTTTTTTTTTGGTTAGTTTTAAAAATTAAATCCTACATTTGAATCCTACTGACAAAATTGGCTCTCTTCGTGTGTAGAGTTATATAAGCATAAATGTTTGCAATTTAGCAATTATCAGCTGTTAAAGCAGTTTCCAGCTACAAGTTTACTCTTGGCGTCAAATATGATATTTCTTGTTGTCCAAATATGAACGAAACTAACATTACCCTTATTTGACGCTGATTTCATTTACTTCAAAGAAGAAATGGCCTGTTAGCCGAGTTAAGTTGGTTTAGAAAATCGTTTTGAGGACTGTTACCTTTTTTATAATTTCATCAGGCAGTGGTCTAACTTTATGATTTACTTTGATGTGCTGCACCTCCTGATGTTGTTATGGAAGGATTGGTTATGTTGAAATGGGTGATTTTATTATCCAAGGTTAATATATTTTTACAATAATACTACTCTAAGAAATCTAGACATGCTATGACATTTTAGTCATTTTACGATCGGAAAGAGTTGAAAATCTGCTGCGTCAAATGTTTTCGGTCATTTCTGACGTTTAAAATATCGAAATACTTTTTACTGAAATAAAAGTTTCAACTATCTTAAATATCATTTGGTTCACGTTCAGTTCATTTTTGGTGCTTTATCTAACAAAAAATATCTATAATTCATTTAATGTTATAGTAACAATAGTTTTATGGTAATGATTTCTTCTCATTGGGAATGTTATGAGTCATGATTAAAATGATAAATTATCATTGTTTTCAAAATTAGATTTTACACTCAAAAAAGAAACAAACAAAATCAGCTACAATAATAATATCAAAATGTGCTAAATGTTCCAAGCAAGAACAACAAATATGGTATCGTAGTTGGTACAGTTTTAGTGCTTTGCGCCGTTTTAGTTAACATTACATTTTTTTCGTAAATAATTATTGTTTATATTGTATTAGTATGAATTTTTTTCCAGAGGGAGTTTATATAATGTGTGTGTTGTTGTTTAGTTGCCCCGCAGATAATCTCGACTCGGACCGAATGGCGTGTGTTGAAGCACTCGGACGTGACTGTGCCCTGCTACTACCGAGAGGGCTTCCCAACTGACACTGAGGTGCGGTGGGTGTTCGGCAGCAACCCCTCGGGGGGCACGATAGTCAGTCGCAACCAGAACCTCACTTTCAAAGCCCAGGAGTTCGACAGTGGGAAGGAGGGGGAGTACACGTGCATAGTGGAGAATGCAGTCGGACAAGACTTCCTCACCATCAAACTACTAGTCGACTGTGAGTACCTCCCATGCCTCTCATACCATACATGCAGGAGCGGTAGCCCCCTCAGGGGGTTTGATCTCCTGATCTCCCGTCTTTGTTTCTATTTTACGACAGTATTTTGTCGACCAACCCTTAAGTTTTTCGAAACGCGCTTTTGGGGCTATTGCATACTAGTACTACTTATGAGACGTGGGGGTGGGCAAAAAACATGATATTTGGACCATATCTTCCAAAAAACGCCCGAAAACTCTACTTTGGCTGAATTTGTCGTAACCTACTTCCCCCCATCCCCCCTCAGAGACGCAACCCTGCCCACATACAAGATGCAGATGACATACATAAACTCAGCTCAGAAAATGATGATTTTAAATATCCCCGATTAAAGATACGCATGATCCGTCGCTTGAGTGCGTGGCGATATTCCCAGCTTGGAAAAATTTGTCTTTGAAAATGCTTGAACGTCTGGTCTTATGTTGTTTATGTTGGTCATTTCGCTTGCAGATATGCTCCTAAAATGAAAATAAACGAAGGCGAAATCTTAATAATATATCTGGCGTCTGGCATTCAAATGCCTTTAGTTTCAATGTTACTGACATTGTCAAGCCTATCATATACGTATCAATAAAGACATCACCAGTGGCATATACATGTCTCAATGCGAAGACGATAAGGCAGCACAGGCAATGTATTCCGTAAGGGTCCAAGTTGTTTAGGGGAACTACAAGCAAAAACACATTTTCTAGCCTAAATATTTCTCAACCAAAAATTTTTATCAACTTTAATTATAGGTTTCGATTTAGTAATTTGAACTTATAAGCCCCACTTTTTTCTAATCTTTTTTCTTGCGCATCTGAGCAACTTCGTATTTTTCAAGAGGTCTTGAGCGAAATAAGTTTTTGCTAAATAATTATGTCTGTTTTCAATTCAGTAAAATTTTTAGAATTATTTCATTTTAATTTTTCTCTGGCATTTGACGTTGTTTTTTTTCAAGATCATCGAAAACATAAAGAGATTAAAAATCATAACTTGTGCGGAATGGTGGGATAATTTTTTGTTCTTCATTTTTTCTACAAGATTTTATAAGATTTTACTAAACCAGAAGCATTGTGCTCATCGATATATAATAGTCAGAACATTCAGGACTTTGCCCCGATATACGAGCAGTCTTGTTAGAATTTAGATTACCATCAAATGTTTAAAGTGAAGTCTGAAAGTGCATACCAGTTTTGATTCAATATTTTTACAATATAACACCAGCGGATTTAGGGGGGGGGGGGGGCGTTTGCCTAATACCCTCAGTAAATTGACCCCCTGCCGACCCAAAGAGTCCCCCATTTGTACTATTTTAAAATATCCATTTTTGGTGACGGACCCTAAAATTTGTTCTAAAGGCGCCTCCGCGCCAATATATACTAATTTTAAAGTGGGAGCGCGCAACGAAAAAACGCAATTTTTTGGTGAAAATTGTCCTAAAATTGCCTAAAAAAGCTTTTTTTTGGCCTGTTTTTTCAGGTTTTGCCTGCAGCGCAGAAAATTTGGTCAAATTGGGGTCTTGGGGTCTTTATAGTGATTCATGAGAGCTCAGAAAATCAAATTGGTTGACCAAAAAAAGGTCGGCAAAAAGGTCGACATTGTGCTATAGCTAGTCAGCAGCGCAAACTTGTTTATTTTTATCCTAAATTTTCTTCTATCACAGTTTTTTCATTTTTGTCGGATGTTCGAGCAAACTTTCATGTTAAATTCCTTTTTATCACTCTTTTACCTCAACTCAAATTCAATTGTTCAAAGTGATGCAAATACGGTCTCTACCAACGAAAGTTGAAATGGTGTGAAGTATTGATTGACAGTTTGACTGTACATTTCGAAAAAAGATTTCTTAAACAGTTTCGAGAGGGTCGAAAAACTAGTTAGTAATCCTTTTCTCTCAAATTGCGATAATTTTATCGAGAATAGACAATAAGGAAAAATTTATGCGTTTAAAAGAACTTAATGGGATTTACATTAAATTTTCAAACTCGAAAAATATATTTTGAAAAAATTTCAATTTCCTTGTTACGCTTGTAATTGTATAATGATATGTTTATTCGAGATTCAATGATAATTTCTAAAAATGTTTTCTCGGTGTCAAAAAACGGTTTGCACTGTTTCAGACTTGTTTTGTGATCGTTGGCTTTTTTTCGTGATACGCGTTTGATTTGCGTTGAAACGAGGATAGCCGGTTACTGTGCAAGCAGAACAGAATGTTTTGACCATAGTGTTTTTTCTCGATACTGGCACAACTTTTTAGATATTTTTTTAATATATTTTTTTCACGGATGAAAGGGCCTCGATATGATATATCAATCGACCCATTCCCGTAGAAAAAAAACAAAAATAAATAAAACACGCCCAAATACAAAGTTCCTCCCCATTTTTTATAAATGGACTGAACAAAAACCAAAAAATATTTGATATATTTAATCCAAACAAAACCTAATTTTTTGTGCTCAATATTAGTCATGTTTTACTCGTACCTTTTGAGGCAAAATACGGTCTCCAGTTTCCATTATTTGGTTTTTGTCATATTTTGGAGACTCTTTTTCCAAAACAAAAATTATTGGTCAAACCAAATTTGTTCAAAGGAACTAAGCCTAAATATAACTTGAATTTCTCATTTTGATAAAATGATGGGCTTCAAAATAGGATTAATTTTTTTGCGTTTTTCTGCAGAAGCAAAGGCAATTAGTTTTCTTGAAATAAGTACGATTAAATGTAAATCAAACAAGAAAATTTTTCTTTAATAACGTGATTGTTTGTTATCAATAAAAGCGCTAATTCAAAATTTGATTTTTTGATATCAATAAAAATGTCTGGAGTGATAGCCAAAAAATTTCTCAATTGGTAAATGTTTTTCTGAGCGTTTTGACTGACAAGAAAAAGTTATATTGATTTTTTTTTCAATAAACTCCTAATTAGTGCCGCTGAACTTTTATTAGGACCGCCAAGTGGTACAATTTTTGAACGGCATTTTGTTGGATTTTTTTGCTGGTGGTATAGCACTCAAATAGTGTGCGTTTTAACCCCAAATTCGTATTTTATAACGAATTTATGACCTGTCAAATAAGTTTATAAAAGCAGATTTCTTGGGATCAAACCAAATCTAAACACCGTGAACAAGTTATGGTCATTCTTGAGGCTCATTTAAATGACAAACATCCCTGAAATTTGACGCCCCGAAAGGTAAAAGAACCGCCCGAAACAATTCTACAAAACAGTTGCATACATAAACCTTAATCTTGTTCACCCTTAGGATTTAAGCATGGTGACATTTTGGTCAGTCCAAAACCCTCTGGCCTGTTTGTATTTAATTAAAAACACACCTCGAAAAATAAACGGAATATTACGGTAACTTTATCACTATTTCGCCCAGCCTACAAAGTGAAACATTTTGTGACATAGTCCTAATAAATTGTCGCCCGGCTGAGCAATAATTCTTTTGGTTTGTGATTCGTTTTTGTCAATCTAACAATATTGCTTGTTGAACCAGTGTCAAACCAGATAAACCAGATGTTAACACCATTTACTGCCTGGATTTACTTGAGTTTTGATCTTAACTTACTCTTGTCTAACCTCACTCACATAGCTAGATGGTGTAAAGTGATTTATGGAATCATTTTATGAAGTCACACTTTGAAGCGGGTTGCATAATATCTCCCTTTTAGCCCCTTTATTGCCGGATTCTTACCTTCAATTTGAATTTTGCAATTTAAGGGTCTCTAAATTTGAAATTTTTGCTTGCTCTTAGCTTTTATATAACCTAATAAACCTAATTATTGTTTGTTTCGCTTATTTGAGATGTATTATTTTCATCTGGCTCCAATTATTTTTTAAGAATCAGTTATACTATGGGCTTATATCATAAGAAGACGACTCGTTGAATAGGCATCGCATGTAATTTTTGTTTTTGTTGTTTTGTCTTCGCGTTTTTCAAATTGACTTTTAGGTTTGAAAATGAAATTAAATCGAATGAAATATGGTGGAAAAATTGAATCGAAAGCAGGATGGGTCGAGAGCCAAGTTTAGTTTGGAATTAATGTAGCCACAAGACTGGTGCTGCAATAAACTAATTATTTCTGCCATCAAGCGCCCCAAACATTCTAGTCCCTTGAGACGCCAAGGAAAGGAGAACAGATTTAAAAGCACCCTGAGTGCATCAAACTCAGAGAAGGGAGAGACAAAATGGGTAGCGGGGAGAGAGAATGAAGGGAGAGAGAGGGTCTTGGGAGAAGATTTAAGGGAGGTATGAAAGGGACTGGGAATTAGGCGGAGGGAGAGGCGGTGAGATGGTAAGCTTATTTGCATAGGGTGCACTTTAGACATGAATTATTAATTTTATAAATGCAACTCTTTAACCAGCCATTGCAGACCTCATTAATACCACCTGAATTGTCAACAATACTGCACATTAGCGAAGAAACAAACAACAAAAACAGCCAAAAAACAACCCTGACACAACTAAAGACATAAAAACAGAAATTGATAACAACAGCGCAAATCTCTTTTCATTTACTGACAAATACCATTGAATTTCTTATTCGAATCGCGTTAATTTTTTATAACTCCGAATGTTTATTAATTTTTTATAAATATTTCCTAACGCCCCAAATGAAGCCTGTGCTTGAGAAATTACCTAAAGTTATCGTTTCAAAGCAAAACTCCGCGGCCCCAAAAGTCAAACCGGACTCGACAAAAATAAACAAAGACGATTACATCTATTACTCAAATTCGATTTCTTCTGATAATTTCAAAAAAATAGTGCTCTCAAACACTATAATGAAACCTGTTTTCGAAGAGTTAGACGAGGACAATTCCCATGATTATAAATTATGGCCATATTCTCGTAAGTTCTAAATGTTTACTTAAAACAAAAAAAAAGGCTGTATGCGCTTTTCTATAAAAACATTTTTGTCCTAAACTTTAAAAAATGGACTACTTATGGCAATTTTTACGCTGAACTGTGCATATTTAGACGATTGTCTGGAAAAAATACGGAATAATTGTAGTCGATGTTTTTTCTTTGCATTTTTCAACTTTTTTTTCAACAAAATTTTCACACTATCTCAAAAAATTGATATTTGTAGTTCAAAACTAATATTCGTACAAACTGATATTCGTTGTTCAAGATTGGTCAACTTGGGATAATTCTGGTTGATTTACTGCGTTCTATAAACGCGTAAGCGGCAATAATCTGGCTCAGGAATCAATTATTGAGTTACAGCAAAAAAAACCTAGTTGACAAATAATTAACTCTGAAATGTATCATTTTGCACTTAACATAGCGCGTTACAAATATTTTGAGCTTTTAAAATTTCGAACATTTTTTATGAACAACCCATACTTATATAACCAAACTCGCAAAGCCGCATAGTTATTGATTAGGAAAAAAAATTCATATAACATTTTGCAAAACAAAACGCGAAGTCTTGAATATTTTCAGTCTTTCGACTCATCCCCTCACGTATAACGTCAAGTCAGTGTCCAGAAACACATGAATTAAATCAAAAAGCATTGCTCAATTAAATTTGCATGGAGATCTGACTCGGATTAATTCCCCGCACACGCTAATAGAATACCTGGAAAATAGCGCGCAATAATCATCTGAAGTTGGCCATTTGTAAACTATAATTTTAAAAATTTAATCGCAGGCGAAACGAATTTTTATTTTCAACTGAAATTTTCTATATAATTCAGTGGGTAAAAAAAATTTCAAAAACAGCTTTTTTTAAGGTTAAAAGTTACCTGGAAAATTTGTGGATGTGTAGTCAAGTTTGTTTTAGAATATGCTAACCTATAGTAAGTTTTTGAAAATAGTTTCGTTAGTCGATTTGTTTTTCGGAAATTTTTACTGTTACAGAATATGTCAAGCGAAAAGCATGACCTTATAAACTTAGCTTCTCAAAACTTGGCTGCAGTTCGAAAATTTTAAATGAATGTTTTCAGCAAATAATAAATTATAACACTGATATAGCTTTTTACTTTTTTAATAGCACCAAACATTCCAACCATGCATAGTTGTATAACAAAAACTGAAAATGATAGAAAATTAACAGTTTTAGAAATGAGTTTTGTTTTTTGCGGCTTGATTTTTGGTTTAATTTTTAACTTTTTTGTTAAAAAAGAAGACAAACGTCTCTAACAAAAGAAAAGTGTAAATTTCGACCTTCTTTTGAAAGTGGTTTTCATAATGCAAATTTCCCAGCGGAGTAAAAGCTTTACTTATTGACCTCGTTTTCTTTAACTGAGTGAAACCTATCAAAAAATGTCAATCATAATTTGTTTTCAAATTTGGAGAGCTTTTAGTCCATAAATTTTTTTCTTTAAAATTTGAAAGTTACGGTTTCACTAAAAACAAGTCAAGTTTATTTTCTGTTTCTTTGTTAAAAGTTAGGCTCATTCATCTCCTTTCGCTAAAAATTGGGGCCTTCGCAGCCCCCTTTTGAAAAATTGGTCTCGAAAAAATTGGCTTCAATCCAATAACGCAAAATTGGTGACCAAGATTGAAATTCAAAATTCAGCCCATTTTTTTTTAAAATGGGCTTCTTCAGCAACCCCATGGATAAGACGAGACCAAAAAATTTTGACATGGGTTATGTTCAATTTAATTTTCATAGTTGTCCCGACCATTTGAAAAATGAGGAGGAACTTTGTTTTCGGCTGTGTTTAAGGTTTTTTTCTTTTTTTTTCCACGCAAAAGCAGCAACCGCAAATAATCATCGAATTGAAGTGAGTGTATATCATAAAAAGGCCTTTACAGTCATAAATGGAACGACATTAAAAATTTTTTGAAAAACTTGTCCCAACCTCGAGAAAAGCCAGTTTGAATTTTTTGGTTTTTGTCTTAATTCCAGCAAAATAGCGAGGGAGCAAGATTACAATAACTTATTTTAGTGGCTTAAAAGCTTACAATAGCCTAATTTAAAACGTAAAAATTTAGTTTTAATTGAGTAACATTAGTTTTTTTGAGCATTTTAGCGCGTTTTCGAAATCAAAAACTTTAAAACTTTCTAGTCGTTTTTCTAGTCTTTTTCTATAAAATAATATTTTTCCATTTGCTTATTTCACTATGACTACAAACATGTCAAATCTCTAGCTTCTCCTTCAGGTCCTTTTTTATCACACCACGCCAAAAAAAACTACACCAATTTGAAAAAAAAAAAACTTTTTTGTATTTTTTAAGACAATGATCGGAACTTTCTGTGCTACTTGCACAGTAACCAGCTATCTTTGTTTTGATTTGTTTCTGTTTGTTTCAGACGCACCCATAGTGACTCTTGACCAAAGTCAAGTGAACGTAGTGGAAGGGGAGAGAATGAGTCTTGTCTGCAGAGTATCCGCCCAACCGGAGGCCACAATCCAGTGGACTCTGAAGGGATCCAGTGCCAACATGGAGTTCCAGTCCTTCAAGGACAAGCCGAGTCTGGTGATCTCCAATGTGGAGCAGTACCATTCTGGGAAGATATCGTGCATTGCCACCAACAAGTATGGAAGCACGGAGGCCCACGCCCAAGTCACTGTGCAATGTAAGTAGAGCTAACCGCCGGACCCCACTATATTTTGATTAAAACTAACAATATATCTGAAGATAACTTGCTTTTATTTCAGTTTTAAATTACTTTAAATTCGAGGCTCAAGCATCAAAGTTAAGATGGAAACTACGAATCAACCAAGAAAATCAATGAAATCTAAAAAATTATGTATACATTTCCAAACTTTCAGAAGCATTTTATAACAGTTTTCCTTTGAGAAAAGATTTAATTTTTGAATTACCATTTCCTGTCTCTTTGAGTTTCTATTTTCTACCTAGTAATTTGATATGTGTCTTGACAGATCCCCCTAGCATCAACCTGAAGATAGAACCCACTCGGTCCACCAACGACTACCGGGAGGGGGAGAGGATCCAGTTCAAGTGCATAGTAGACAGTGTGCCCCCACCCAAACTCATAGAAGTGTCCCGAGTAGACCACTCCCCTTTCACACACAATGGTGAGCAGTCGTATCCATTGTTTATAACATTTGAAACAAAGTTACTAACTATCAGTTATGAAAACAGAACTAAAAACGGATAAAAATAGAATGTGTTAGTAGTCGAGTCTAACTCTTGAATCTTTTTCAATTGAATTTGAGTTTAAGTTGATTCCCATTGAAAGACTAGGTGTTACGTAACATAACCTGAAACCATAGAAAATTGCTACTTCACTAACACTTTTATTGAAAAAAGCGCGTATTATTTTATGAACCATCACTATAGACTGGATAAAACTCAGTTCGTGAAACAAAATCTGATAAAACTGTTTACGGCGATGTTTCATTCCACTAACTATAAATTATTAAAAACATCAAAGGTGTTTATGAAATAATCATGTTTTTCTTCTATATCTTTCTCCAAAACCAGTCTCGAAATTGATAGTCTTCAATTAATACTGCATGAAGTTGGGTTCATTACAGATTAATTTTCTGATGTCAACCTAGACAACCGGTTTTTGTAAAAAAAGCTTCGCTTCTTGTAGCACGGATTTGAAAATGTCGAGCTTTTTTTCAGTTAGTTTCAGTTATCTATCCGAAAAAATTCTAATCATCGAGTAATTTGAATTACTGATGGTGACACCATCTTTATTTGTCCAATTTCACTTATCAAATTATCAAGTGAGGCAAAAACATTTAAAAAATAGCAAAAGAAAACAGAATATGGTGTCGAAACATTTAGGAGATGGTAAAAAGATTCGTGATATCATATAGGAATGCTAATGTTTTTTCAATGACCTGTTTTTTCAAAAATATAGTCAAACAAAGGTTTTTATAATGTCCTGGTGGTGCTCGAAAAATCGATTTGGTCGACTTATTAAAAAATATTGACAAAATTTCAAAAACTTTTTGAAAATCCCCTCACTTCAAGAACATCCTAGAACTGCCCCTGAAATGGCGTGCTTGACTTTTGGTTTCCATTATTTGATCATGTTTTCTCTACTTGGTTTAGTTTCCTCAAAAACTGCGTCAATAATCTGAAAATGAAAAAGCCTTTCATTTCTTAAATTAGAAAACAAATGTCAAAAAAAAATGTTTTTTTTTTGTCGGTTTCCTTCAGTTCATGAATATTTTCTAACTGTTTGATGGCTGTTTTTAAATGCCAATGAATGTAGTGGAAGTCGGGTTGATTTATCATTTATCAATAAACGTTGGGAAGTCACTGATATAGTTTTTACAGAAAAAGTCGTAAAATTTGTTCTCCTCAAATTTTATTTTTTTCCGAACAGATTTTGGATTCTTTTTTTAAAAGTTAAATCATTAAAAAAAGGCAAATGCCACTCTATAATTACAAAACTAAAATGGCTTGAAAAAACGTGAACGATTTCTAGTTTCCGAAGTGGATAGTTTTTAGACTTCATACGGGAATATCAAAAATTTCTTTAATAATCTAGTTTTCTGAATTTTGTTAAATTCTTTATTCCGATTGATTTAAAATCCGATTGGAAACTAAATGACATCCTCCTCCTTACCAACTTTTCCGGTGAAGGATGACAACTTGTTGCAAAAAAAATTTAGTTTTTCTGGAATAAATTTTGATAACTTTTGGTTACAAGGATAGCCGGTTTCTCTGTGAGTAGCACAAAACCGACCACTCCGACCACCTTCTCAGAAAAAAATTTCCTACAAATTAATGTTTTTTTTTTCTTATGCGTCGTGTGATGATAGAACTGTACGAATGCTTAGAAATTTAGTAAATCAGGAGCATAAATTACTACAATTCTCTTCAAAAGTTAAATAAACAAATTGAAATTTATAAAAAAAATTATTCTATAAAAAAATAATTTTCATTTTTATGAATATTAAAAATTTTTGATAACCAATATAATTATTTTTTGCGCCAAATATTTTTTAAAATTTTATATTTTTTTCTCGTCAAAAATACTAAATCAAGTTTTTTTAGCCTAAATTGCTAATGTTTATATATAAAGATCGTTACGAAATTTCACTAAAACTCAAAAGTTGTAAACCAGTTTTCTCAACACTGGAACAACTTATTGAAGACTTTTTAAAGTCGTTCGAATCACGATCCAAAGGACTCTGATATGATTTATCAATGGACCCAACCCAATGACTATTTGTGGTACCTGATTTTGGATGGAAAACAAAAAAAGAGAAAAAATTTTAAACACACCAGAATCAAAATTCCTCCCCGTTTTCAATGGTCAGAACAAAAATGGCGAGACCGATGTTTCATAATAGCTTTGAAAAGGAAGTAACCATCACATTTGTTCTCGATCTTTTATTAATTTTCCTTTTATTACCTCTATTAACGATCATTCACTCTATAAGAAATGAATTTATCCAAATGTCAAGCATTACAAATACAATTGCTGAACCTAGCAAGGAGTTTTGCCCAATTTTGTCACAGTTGAAGAGGGTTGTTAACAAGATTCGTAAAGAGTAGGAGGATCTCTTTAACTATTTCCCCCTTTGGTATATAAAAATGAAATGCCACCCTAATATAAAGAAATACTTCAACGGTTAAGCATATGCGAATTTGTACTTAGTAGTGAAAACCCCTGCAAAAGGGAAAGGTATAGTTTAAGAGATCCCAGTACGAACCAAACCATCAAACGTTGTCCCGTTTAATTTCATTAACAGATGTAGTGTGATTGAAATGTCATTTTCGTTCATGTAATTCCGATTTCAGTCATTCTGCCCTATACTAACACGAACAAGAGTTACTTCGCGAGCGGTGAGTGAATGCGAGAATGCAAAGATATCAATGTATTACTGCAACTCATAAATGGCCATGTTTTATGAATGTCTTGTTCATTACTGTCATCTGACCTCCACAACTCGAAGTTCACACTTTAACCCCCAAGTTAAATTTCCATTTGAAAAAATCTATCGCTCAAAGTCACTTCTTTTGAAACAGATTTGTTCATAATAGCGCTTTTCTTTTGAAAAAATTTCATTCAAGTAATTTTGAAACATCAAACCTCGTTTAAAATTCAGGGGAAATGGAAACAGAGCGATAGGTCGTTTTCATATTCTCTGACGATTATGTCCTTGTATATCACTGGTACCGGTTCCATAACTGAAATCAACACTATAATTTAGCCCCAAAACATTAATTCATTATATTTAATTGTATATTGGGTTATTGGAGATGAAAAACTGGGATCATAAAAAATTTCATATCAAGTTTTCTAGTCATCTAAATGATCTCAACTGGATAATACATGATGTAATCTTTTTTTCTTCAATTTAACGCAATTGTTTCGGACTTGCAATTACAACCAGTTCCCAAGAAAGTTGTTTATGTGCACTATATTTCTTATTTAGATTTAGAAAATCCGAGTTTGAATCTTTTCTATTTTAAAAATGTTTTCATAAACAAAGAAGAGCTGCTTTTTTGATCCTACTACTACATTTAGAGAATAAGATCTAGAAAAAAAGAGGTTCTTTTTTATGATCTAATATTCTCTTTATCTGATAGCCCTTTTATGATCTAAATCCTCCATTTTTGATCTAATAGCATTAAGGCTTTGCCGAAATAGACTGCACGTAAAGGGCGCATTAATTTTTTGGCGTCTCAAACCTGAAGCCTTTCAATAAGGACATTTTTGTGACCTAGTTCAATTCGGAGCCATCTTATTTTTCATTTTTGTAAACATTCATTAAGGACAATTGTTGCACAAACTTTCTGTACTACTTGCACAGCACCCAAGGACTCTTACCTGGTTCAGCGGCCCAGAGATTGAATTTAACCAGTGTGATTTTAATGATCTTTTTCCCTATTCTGATAAGGCGTGCTACTGTTTGAGCGCACAAAAAAGCAATAGATTCAAATTTATGACGACAGGAAATATGTTTTTTCTTCATTTTCAAGAAAAAAAATCAAAACTATAGCTTTCCTTAAACAATTGTCTGGAATTTAAAAAACAAAACAACATTATCAACAAGTATTTGAAGGGAATAAAAAAAGGAACAATAATCGTAGACAATTAGACTTATAAGAATTAATTTATAAAAAAAACGTAGAAACTGCAAAAAGTTAGTCTAATTACAAACACCGCTGTTCTACAGTTTCTATCTTTAATCATCGATGTGTGAATGTCATGTTCATGTGTGTCTTTGTTTATACGTCATGCGCACGTGTGTGTCCAGCAATACCTTCCTTGTTCCTCACACTTTCCAACCCTTACAGGGTTGTGGCCTCTAACTTGACCTGTAACTTGACCCCTGTTTTGTGTGTTGTCTGCAGGAGAGATCAGTGGAGAGAGTAAGAAGATAGTGGAGGTGTCTTCGCTGGAGAGGAGCCACAGTGGCCAGTACAAGTGCCTTGCCAAGAATGGGCTGGGGGTGGTGAATCACCACACGATATCACTCAGAGTTCAATGTAAGTGCGGAACAAGTAACGCTGCATGTCTTCACTTTTATCCAGTTTCCAGTTAAAGAATTGTTAACTTAGTTGAGTTTGCTGAAAACGATTTATCCACGAGGGCACAAGGAAAAAGACGAACTTACGAGCTATTCGCCTGTTTACGGAGAACAGTTGAGGCGTCGCTTTTTAGGAATTATGGGCAATTTTTTTGGTAATTTTTCTGGTCTGGGTAACGTTGACTCACGGATCATGGTGGGCCTCCTCGAACATCCGACATTCACCAATTCACCACCACTCAACCTTACTTTTCAACTCATCCAGCCTCTTAATCTAACTTGAACGTAGTGCTAATAATAAAATGCTATCAAATGCTAAAGAAGCGTTTGGCAAAAAGAAGACAAAATTGAATTAAACTACAAGAGAAACCACAATTCGTTCCAAAGGGTTCTTCAAAATTAAACCTGATAAGAACTTTAGTGATAACTACACGGCAACCAGGCAGCCATAACTAAGTGGTTGACCAGTTCGATATAGAATGGGTCAAAGATCCAATCAGACAGTAAAATCGACTAAGTTTACTTAAGACAATTTTCGTTTCTTCTTCCGACCATCCCTCTAGATATTGGAAAAAAGTATGGCCTCTGGTAGAGATTTTCAATCAAAATTGGGCGTCTCAACGATCGCTTGTAGTTTAGCGAGCATGCTATCATTTTAAAAACCCTTCAGTTGTATTTTTTTTAAATTTTTTGTTCCGACCATTGAAAATGGGGAGGAACTTTGTATTCGGGTGTGTTTTAGAGCGAAATCAGGTGCCAAAAAAAATCATTGGATTGGGCTGAGCGACATATCACATTGAACTCTTTCAGTGGTGATTCGAACCACATTAGGAAACTCCTAAAAAAATTTTCTAATGTCGAGAAAAACCGGTTTCAAATTTTGATTTTTCGTCCAATTTCGAGCGAGTGAGCAGGCTTACATTAGCTTATTTATGCCTAAATTAAGACTTGAAAATTTAGTTTTGTTCAGCTAAAATTCGTGTTATGTTTTTTTTCTCCAATTTGGCTGTTTTATTATGAATGTCAAATAATCTTTAGTTCTAGTTTTTCATTAAGATCCTTTTATCACACAACGCAGAAATCAAACGACACTAATTGGTGTTTTTGGTATTTTTAAGACTATTATCGGAACATTCTGTGTCACTTGCACAGTAACCGGCTATCCTTGTTTAAATTTTAAAATGTATAATTGTCGCGAAATGCTGGTTTTGTAATATCGAGTTTTTCACTGTTCAGACTTCAGTTTAGCAAAAAATGGATCAAACTGACATTTCATTTAAATATGTCTGCTCATTAAAAAAGCAAAACTTTGAAGTTGTGACTGTCTTTTGCCGTTCTTTTGAAAAAATTTTTGATTAAATTAGATAAAATTGAAAAAATAATCAAATAAAATAGAACTTCAGAATCTTGTCTGAGTTTTTATTAATTCTATCCCGCAAGCTATGTAAAGTACTTAGTGATATTTTTGCACCTGGTAATCCAATAATTAAACCAAGTTGTCTACCTCAATTTAATTTGGAATAATAGAGTTCTCCGCTGACGTTTTAATAGAACCTTATCTATCTCTTGTTAATTAATCCACCCGTAGTTTTTTGAAAAGTGGTCGCAGATAATTATTTAAAAATTTTGATCTGAATTATTTGCTAGCATTCAGATGATATTTTTAAAAACTCCTGCCAAAATGGTTTGTTAAAATATGAAACTTTGTATTTGTTCGAAGAATGACTACCCCGCAAATATTTCGTCAATTTCTTCGAAGTCGGGTTTGAAAAACCTCTCCGAGAACAAATATTTTTCTTCAAAAAACTGATCATTGACAAAGGTTTCGAGAAGAGTCAGACTTAAACTTTTGTTACCACAAAAGCACAGTTGACCTCTATAGTGCTCAAGTTTTTCTCAAAATTTAGATGCTGAAGTTTTTGTTTGTGTTTTCAAAGAAAGTAACGAAGTATTTGTACTTGAGGTGATTTTTTCTCAGGGCTGTTTTCAACTGCTTAAATCTCAGTTTTTGACGGAATTTGTTGCGCACTCTGAAAAAATTAATGCGCAGGCCTCAAGTATTTTACCCTTTGGTCATTTTTTGCAAAAATATAGGGGCTTGAATTCGGAAATACTTTGAAAATTACGATTCCAGTTGGGCTATAAAATGCTCGATTTGTTTCGTGAAATTGAATACACACCAAATTTCATCATTTCAGATTAAACTAAATCAAGCAATTCGTTCGTATAAATATGTTCCCAGACGCAAAAAAATATCACTTTGTACTTTGCCTTAGTGTGTAGGTGGATAAAATTATGAAATCTATATTATAGAAAATCTCAAAAATGTTTCATTTTTTTCTGATGTTTTTAAAAAAAATTTCACGAGCAGTTAACGGGCAGTGAAGACATTCGGGGCTCTGCCCTGATACGAGAAGTTTTGTTGCCTGTAAGTTGTTTAAAACACAAGACACTCTATTTGTCCAAATAACATTATTCGATTGACCAAAATATATATTGAATTATCCGCTGAAGTCGGAAAAGAAGTAACTGCTTTGCTTCACCGGCATCGCCCTGCGTCAGAAGTGTGATTTCTTTCAAGCCTAGTATGCACCAGACTCAGTCTTGTTTCCAAATAAACCTTCTAATTGATTTTATAAGGAATTCTAACTGTGATTTATGGGTAAGAAATTGAAACCCAGTCTGTCTTATTGGAATTATATTACGGCAGTTATTTGCTGTTTGGCTAGACCAAAGCAGTAAATTTGGTGGTTTTATAACAATCCACTACTATAAAGGAGCGAGCGTATTTTTCATGGATACGCGCTTGTCTTAAATTACAAGCTGGTCTCGTTTTTGATCGGTGAAATTATATCAGGTGACAATCGGCAGCCGTAGAAATCGCTCAAATGTGATACTCTTTTTGATGTCTCTCATTTTTCAACATGCCCGATTTGAACATGAAAACCATTTGAACATGAAAACATACTCAGGAATGAAAATATGAGGAAAGTTAATTTTACGAAATTAAGAAATTTTTCTTCTAATCAGTACTTTTTTCAGGTCAAATTGTCAAACGACTTCAAACACAGAATTCTCTAGCTTTGAAAACTTTTCTGTGAGTGTGAAATTAATAAGTAATGAAGTTTAAAATCTTGTTTTGCAGATGGGCCAGAGATAGCAGAGATGAAACCTGTGTACAAGAACGAGGGCGCCAGTCTCAGTCTACACTGTCTGGTGCAGAGTGAACCCCCCGCCAGTATAGTGTGGCTACATCCAAGCAAGGGCCAGGTAACAAAGCAAACATTCACCAATGTATGTCTTGTCTTTTAAAATGAAAATATAAAATGAAAATAGACAGACTGATATTTAAAAAAACGGCTTCAAATTCAACTTGCATCAGGGATTTTTTTACTAATAGAACATCAAGTTTCTGAACGAAATTGAATCTACAGATACGCCTGAAGACGGATCTGTAGTTCTAAGAATGGTTTTCCCAGGGAGTATAAGGATGTATTTGAACTTCTGGTAAAGCGAGTTACTTTAATATAACTGCTGGAAATACTTTCGTTCTTCGCCATTGAAATTGATTGTGAAATTTGCAGGAGAATAGCGTTGAATTAAACAATAAACAGTCGTTCTTGTCAACTAACTGGCCTTTCTGGTGTACTTCCAAGATGTTTTTTCTTGGATAAGTAAAATATAAACTTCATAAAGACTAGTTTGCTTAAAGAACTACTCTCTACTGATCATCCCAAGCCATGAACAACTTTTCATGCCATTCAAGATTCATGTACAAATTTCCATGAAATTCAAGGTTCATGTACAAATTTCCATGAAATTCAAGGTTCATGTACAAATTTCCATGAAATTCAAGGTTCATGTACAAATTTCCATGAAATTCAAGGTTCATGTACAACTCTACATGCTGTACAAGAGCCCTTGTTGAAAACAATAAATTTAGGTGTCGAACAAACGCCAGCTGGAAGTGACCAGACTGAGCAGGAGTGACAGTGGGACGTACACATGTACTGCCAGTGTGAGCTACTACGACGGAATCAGACAGTCCGACTCACAGACTGTCGATGTCTACGTCAACTGTGAGTAGTTCACACCAGAACACGTTACCTCATCATCTATTTTTTACGACCATTTTTCATTCGTTTGATCAATTGTGAATAAATAGCTCGTACGTAATCAATTTAAATTACACACAAGGTCAAAAAACAAGATTAACTGGAGATAATTTGAAGGTCAAAGGGTTCGTATGAGTTATAAGCAGGTGTGTTCGCCTCTAAATGACATCAAGTTACTGCTAACACTGTTGAAAAATGTATTTTTCCAAGTATCTCTCAATTGCGAACGGTCTCCAATGAATAATCTAAATAGCCTGCTACCAGTCAGTTTTGTAAAATACAGTTTTGTTCACACTTCAATCCATCTCTTAGTGAGGTTGAAGCACTTCAATATGTGCGTGTGTTTGCTAGATGACCCCGAGATCAGCATCTGTGGGGATAGTGCGGTAGACGATGGGGTCTATGCCAGAATCGGATCCCCCGTGGACCTCTGCTGCTCCGTCAACTCATTCCCACAGGTACGATGAAGCAAAAATCACCTTTAACCTTGTTCAGAAGCTCTCATAAGAATATTCAATCTTGCACAACAGATAAACAACCTCTAGACCAGTAATACACAATTTTGAAAGTTCAACGCCAGATTTCTTTCACTTCGTGAAGTTTCAATGTGGATAATTTTGAAAAAGTAAGGCTTTTCAAGTTCTTTTGATTAATTTCAAAGCTTCGTCCACAAGTTTCTATAATTTTTATGATGTCAATTTTTTTCGGCTATCATTCGGCAAATTTTTCTTAGGTTGTTTGCCAGGGATCTAAGTAATTTGTGTGTTATTTATTCAGTCGACCATCTCCTGGTTCAAACTGGACCAGAGCAGTCCCCGTCCTCTGGCTCTCACTCCCAAGGTCATCAACCAGACCTCCTCTCGCTTCAGAAGCAGCATCCAGTCCATAGTGCAGCTGCCCAAGCTAACAGAGGCTGACATGGGCACCTATCTGTGTGAGGCCAAGAACAAGTTCACATCCAAGACCAGAACGCTATACGTCAAACAGCTAAGTGAGTCGCAGCTTTTATTGGATCTCTTTAACTGTTTTCTCCCTATTACAAAAAGGGTATTCGGTTCAAGGAACAGTTCTTGCCTGCAATGTTTCTTGTTAGGCAGGATGTTTTTTTTCATAACGTCACTAGGTACCCCGAGGGAAGGGGGGTAATGCAGAGATCCCAAAATTTCAATTCGGCTAAATTGGATTTTTTAAATTTTTATAGAAATAATCTGGTTTCTAAATCAATTTATGAACTGAATCTGTCCAGGAAATTATGTTTCTTGATACGTTAGTTTATGAACTGTGTAACTCTAAATTTGGATACCAGCTGAACTAAGTTAAAACACTTTTCACTAATAGTCTCATAAAAAGGCGTTTTCATTAAATTAGAATTGAATGGGAAGTCTGCTATAATTGTAACTGTGACATATTAAGCAGCATTTCTGATGCTGAGTGGATTTACGCATAAGTGTGTGGTGTTTTAGGGATCCCTCTGGCGCCGGTGTTGAACACTGCCTCGCCTGACCAGACTGGGGGGATCCGACTTATGTGGCAGACAGACAAGCTGGCCCAGTACTACCAGATAGGCTACAGACTGGACGGTTCTCCTCAGGAATACAAGGTACATAACATACTTTTATTACACACATTCTCATATTCACTATAATCCATTCATTACAGGTTAAGCTGCATTAATCTCTTTATTCTTCTTTTTATCAAAGGGTGGTTTGGTGAACTCTTACTGCAAAGTAACAGTTGAATCGATTTTTGTTTCAAGTAATATACCATGCGTAGAAAGTACACAAAAATTGTTGGTCAACAAGTCTTTTATACACGAGAAACAAACAGTCTGAACAATTATATCCGTACGCCTGTGGATGTATATCTAAAACAGTTAACATCTGAGGGTATTTCAAAATCCATTTCAACCTGATGTGGGCTTTATTAAAGCATGTACATGTTGAACTTTTATCGGTTGGACTAAATCGATTCTTGGCGGTTGAAGTCTAGTAAAAAATTGTTGACATTGCCAATATGGGGCTCATTAGTACGGTAAAAAACATGGCTGGTTCTATCATTATTCCTCAGTTTCAACAAGGGCCATCGATTTACTATCAAGATGACAGATTGCTTTATCAAGGAAAAAAACCAATTAACTTTTTTCACCAAAATATTCATCAAACAGACTGCTTTTATATCAAGGCGAAGTCCTGAGTTTTCCATCCGCACTTAAAAGGCAAATTTGAAAGTTTTTTTGCTTTTTTTCGTATTTCATCAATTTTTTTTTCTTTTTTTTAGCTTATCCCCCCACACGCCAATTTAAACTACAAAAGGGTGTATTTAGCGTGTTTTATCCTGTTAATACGACCAAATGAAGGATCGACTGAACAATATCCTCTTTCCATAAACGGGGGCGATTGTAAGTAGATTAAGTAGGCGAATTTTCGACCCATCAGAATGCAGTAAAATTAAAACACTCTAAACACACAAAACTCTTGTGCTAATTTCGATACGAAAGTAACGGAATGTTTGTGCTCGGGTGGGTTTTTTTTTCTTCAGACAAATTTCGACTTTTTAACTAGCCATTTTTGACGGAATTTTTTTTATATCATTCAAAAGGTATTGTTGTCCTGAGCTTAAATTTGAAAAGATATTCTACCTGTGATTATTTTTCGTAAAGTTATGGGGGTTTAAAGATTGCCATTTTGGCCAATTTGGGACAATTAACGCGCGATATATTTCGCGCTATTAACTCGTAAGCGGCGGAGAGCTAATCCGTCTTAGAAATTGTGTTCTAAATTGGTTGAAAGAAGCTTATTTGCCATAATTGATTTGTTACAAAGAGCGAAATTTATTCTTGTGTACTTTAAATGGCGTGTGAGGGGATGATTTCAAAAAATCCAAATTTAAGATTTTTTTTTTCATTTTATTTTATTGCATTTAATTTTTTTATGTTATTACTGCTCCATAAACCTTAAAAGGCAATCGGAACATTCAAGGCTTCGCCCTGATACGAGCAGTCTTGTTTATTGTATAGGGGTGATGATTTTTTATTATAAACCATAGTGGGAGACTGTTAAGTATATCACAAATGAGTTGCCTCCGCTCATTTCGGAACGCATTAATTTACCGCCTACGCGTGTTATAAGAAAAAAAATATATCGCGCTTTAATTATCCCAAATTGGCGAAACTAGTAATTTTCAAACCATCATAATTTTAGAAAAAAAAGTCACAGGTAAAAAAATTTGTACAATTTACGTTCAGGAAAACAATATCTTTGAAATGGTAAAATGGTTCCGTCAATTGTGCTGAATTAAAAAATCGAAAATTGACTGAATATACAAACCAACCCAAGCATATATTTTTCGGGCTTTCTTCTAAAATCGAAACAATGAAATTTCATCACTGCCATTTATTACATAAATGGATATACCATATCACTTTGGTGATGTGGTCGGAACAAAAAAAATAGTAGTAATTTAAATAATTAAATAAGCAGGATTGCGGTGCAAGTAGCACAGAATGTTTCGACCTCATTCATAAAAAGCTATAAAAAGATCTTCAAATTACTACTTACTAAAGTTTCTTGTGCGTGTTGTGATGAGATAATTATACACACGCGTAGGAATTTAGCAAGTTGAGGATATTCAATTACAACCATCTTCAATTTAAGCAAACGAAAAAAGAAAAAAACGGTTTAATAAATTTTTTGTATTGTTATACAGCATTTCCAAGGAAGCGCTAAATGAAGATTACAAAACTAGTTTATAATCATTGAAATCAATTTTTGATCTAAGAGTCCAAATTTTATATAACGAACGTTATTCGATTGCTTTACTCGATTGCTTTACTCGATTGCGTTCCTTGATCGCTTTAATCGCTCGAAATTGGTCTATAACTCAAAAACTCCCAACCGGTTTTTCTCGGCACTTGGACAAAATTTTGAAAATTTTAATGTCGTTCAAATGACGCACGACAGGAAAGGTTTCAATGCGTTGTATCATTCGGCTCATTTTGAAGGTTCATGTGACAGTGATGATGAACTATGAATAAACAAATGAGCAATACAATTTTACAGTTACATATTTTCCGACCAATTTGATATTGATTAAAATGTGACATTTATAGAACCAAGGAGGGGATGTGAACCGAGATCTTTGATCTAGACTACAGTTCCACTGTTCACTCATTGTATGCGTGTGTAATTCAGGTGCTTCCTTCGCGGGAGGATCGGGACACGAGTGTGATTCCAGACCTGGAGAGGGGGAAGCCGTACCAGTTCGTGGTGCGCAGCTGCAACCAGGCCGGGTGCAGTCCCTTCTCCAACCCCCTGTCATCAGAGCCCATCACCATTCCAAGTAGGAGCTTTTTCACCACCATGCCAATTCAATAATAATAACAATTGTGGTTTCTGCGATTCGTAGAGGATTTATGAAAGGCTATCCAGTCTATCTGAGCATAGTCCGCTTCTTCTCTTTTTTCCCCACATTCCAGACTGAATTATTTTGCTGAATATAAATATAGTCCATGCGAAATAGCGCGTTTCAAGGATTAGAGAGAAAATCAGTGGCCAAAATTTTCTTATTAGCTGAAATAAAATTGGGTTTATTCTGAAATCGTGAGCTTATCTCAATCAATTGTTCAGAAAAAATATCAAAATTGAATTTCACAACATCGAGCGCTTTTGGATCTCATTTTTGGATGTTCTCTAAGAAATAGTTTCGTCATATTTAAACAAGGGATAGTTGATGTTGAGTTGACTTGGTGTGTAGACACGCCCATGAAGGGTGGTGCCGCGAGCATTCCGGTGAGCACGGTGGTTGTGGTCCCGCTGGCACTCGTCGGCCTCATCCTCCTCCTCTCTCTCCTAGTCCTCATCTGTCGGAGGCGGAACAACAATCGACGTGCTCAGAAAGGTCAGTCTAGACCAACTTTCATAATAAAACTAATAGTGTAATAAGTTAACATAGCTACAAATGGGACATTATACTCAATTTATAGCGCGGTTATTCTTGGCATGAAATAATACAGCTAATAAGGGGTTAATGAAATTTGACTGCCGAGAAACGGCATTAATTACGATACCGGAAATTGACTAGCCGTACCTTCAATATAATCTAAACAATAACAAAAATAATACGGAATCTGATTAACAATCTGCCCCCTCCCTCTAGTGAATCTTTAAAAAAATCTCTAGCCCTATAATTAAAAACAGTATTTAATGTCATCCAAACAAGACAGTTTTTTTTCCTTAGACTTCATTTCTTTTTGTTAAATGTAACATTTGCTGCAATTTAGAGCTTTCTAGTTTTGGATTATTTTAATTTTCCTTCAGTCTGATTGACCCAAAAAATCGAGTTATTTTTTGCTAATTATCAAGTTAAAAACTTCAGCACCTTCCTTACAACGGAATCGATTGTTAAGTAGGTCCAAAAATGGTTCCCATTAGATTTTTGGTTTCATTGCAATTTGTTTGAAAATGTACCACCCTCCTATCCGCTACCGATAATAATGAATGAATACTCTTCACAATGACAGTTACAATTCCAACCCACAATTTTACCCTCCCTCACTGAATTATTAGAAGCACACTAATTCACTCATCCAGTGACTCAAGTGATCTGTAATCTAGTGTCCCCTTACGCAAATAGGCGCAAAAATATGGACAAAAATATAACATTCAATCGGCTCAAGTTACCACGTCGTGAATGAACTTAAGTTAAAACTCGTTTAATTTCAAATAAGCATCAGATGAGAACCGTTTTTTTTAAATAGCTAAAAAGTTACCATAATTACCCAATTATTATTTTTCAACGGTCTTTTTATTTGCATTTTGAAATCTAACCCTATCCCAATGGGAAAAGAAAGATAAATGTAGTTAAACTTAAATGGAGTTGAACTTAATTTTTGTTGAGACGTAGACTGATTTGTTTTCATGCTTTTTAGAAGCTTACATGCAGTTTCTGTTGGCTAGATCTGCATCTGACCAAGGTACAGAATGCAAATTAGACAAATTGCAAATGAAAGAACTGCCTCTGGGCCGTATAGATTTCATTTAATTATCAATGTCTCGCTAAACTCTGATTAAAAACAGAAATCGATACAACGATTTTGCCCTAAAATACAAACACTTGAATTTCATGTTAAGAGACTACTTTGCAAAAGTACAAAAAGTTGTATCGTTTTTTGTTTAATTTTCAACTTGAAGAATACTATTTCTGCGTGGCGCATCCTGGCTCATACAAACTCGACTGTTTCAACTTTATTTTTGTTCATGTTTTTGTTAGTTGCCAATTGGTGTTCAAAAAACCGAAATATTCCGAAATCGAATGGATAAACTTTACACTTATGTCAGTCAAATTAAAAGTTAAGTGCAAAGTTACTCTAATTGAGACAATGAAATATACGAATTTCGGCTAGTATGTTCTGGAAAAAATTTTTTTCATTAAAATTCGATCGAATTTGAAATTTTGACCTTGAAAGAATGTCACAACAGCAACAGGTGCACAATTAGCAATTGTTCCTTGCATATAGTCAGTGAATCGGATCTTTTGTTTTTCCATAAAATAGTGCGAATATTGTTGAGATTGAAAGTATGACACGCACACTGAATTGCTTCTAAACTGACTGATGAATGATTTGGCCTTGCAGATGATGATAGGGGGTCGGTGGCCATTGCCGCTTCAGACGCCTACACCCCCTCCGCTAATGCCAAATACTCCCCCTACCCCTACTCCTCTCACCCACACTACCAACCACATGCACACACCAACGGGGGTTCTATCCTTAGGAGCGGTAGTCCCCCTCACCATCCCCTGACCAACGGGGGACCCCCGGGTACCCTGATTAGTTCCTACTCGGGCCACCAGATTGTGGCCAACCCAGGTGCTATTGTGACCTCAACTGCTTACCCTTTGAAGACTGCGGGTGGTGGGGGAGGGGGAGGTATTTTGGTTGATAGGGGGCCACCGGGTGTACCCCATACAAATGGCCACGTGTTAAAAGGTAAGTTTCGTGTGGGACATTTACTGTCATATCCGGAATAGTTTGCGGAATAAGGGATCTTTATCGAAAGTTTCATAATAAAAGTAGCCTTCAAAACTGGTTTGCTCACCACTTGGTTAACACTTACCAACTACTAAATTCATCTCTTGTTCATTCCCTATCAATTCCCAGTTCTAGCTCGCTCCTGTTTGTGATTTTCAGAGTTTTTCTTCATCATCCTCGCTTATCTAACCTTTGAAATTGGCAAATTAAAAATGACTTCAAAACCTTCGAATTAAAGTTCTTTTTCAAAATGCCGTCAGGTAATTCAATTTGTTATAATTTTTTCCAAAATCTTAGTGTTACGGCGTGCTCATTGTCAGTTTTCTAGTTTAATTGTTTAGTCGGAAAGAGCCATTAGCTGAGTTTAACAACCAAAAATAAACCAGCAAAAATTTAACTCAACCATCAAAATGAAAAACTCGTACATATTTATCGAAAATTTTATACAGAAATCTTACAGTTTTTTGCCATTCATCCTAAATGATTAGCGTTTTATCATAATATATCTACATTTTGCTTAAAACACATTTTAGAAATCAGGTTTATGAAAATTCTGATGAAAGAAGCTCGGTAGTATTGATATTCGCCTAGGCTTGCTCAAAATTTGTGCATGCTTGGGTTATTTTTAGTTTTCGGTTCCTAACTTCTCTTAAAAGTTTCTCGCCGCTGCTACTGATTTCTTTAATTATTTTCAAATTTGCCATTTTCTGTGCTCAATTTTGGTAAAAGTTCTTCTGGTTTAGGTCTTAGTCTACCGGACGAAAAATACAGTGCAAATCAGAGTTACATAACTATTACGCAACCCAACGGGTCCCTTATTCGGTCTCCACTCAACTCGATGTCGGGTGGGAACGAAGTGGGCAAATTCAGCCCCACGCCCAGCCAGACTTCGCCTTCTTCTTTGCCCCCCTCGGAGGAACACATGGACTCAAATGGGGGTCCGAAGGCTATTTATTTACAGAACATGTCAATGGACAGAGTTGCCTTCAGCAAGCTAAAAGGTCAGCTTACTTCAAAAATCACTGACAAAATCAGCAATTTTTCAATAAGTTCAAAATAACAAAACTTAGGAAGAAAAACAAGAAATACGGAAAAAAATAAAATTAAGATTATTTTTTTGTTCAAAATAGGCTACATATTTTAATGAAATTCCTTAGTTGCTCGAATCGTTTTTGAGATCAATTTTTAATCAGCTTTTGCAGTTTTTGACTACAGTCGTTTTGAGCTGTTTTCTGGGTAGTTTTCCAGGTCAACCATGCTCAGTTGACGAAAAAAAAACGAGCTACAATGAATCGGAATTGTTCAAACTTTACTGAAACTACTGAGGTTATTATGCTCGCTAGAATCCTGCTTGGTAAATGGTTGGATTTGTTTTCAGTTTTAGCTATTCTCAGTTTTCGTTATTATTATTAGGATTCCTTTAATAATCTTAACACCTGACAACCTTCAATTGCGGGGTTTTCCACTGAAATGATCAGAAATCATCAAAATTTCCAGTAATTTATCATCGAGTTTTTCTGCTGACTTTTTAACTAAGTTGAGAAGGTACAAACTTTGAGATTATTTGAGCCACTTGGTGTGTTGGTCGTGATAACACAAACAAAAAAGGCCTTCTTATTTTGATAGAATCCTGCCTGTGATCTGAATCGATCTGATCTGTTCACATCTCACTTCTTCTGTTCGACTGACTACCTCAATTTCGACCACTTTCTGCTAATTAACCACCACTCAACCAAATCATAACTAACCAACAAACTGCCACTTATCGAATGAGGGGCAAAGGGTAAGGTAGTTTGCAAACTGTGATTTCAACTCAACTGTCCCAGAGTCCAATTCAACCTTGTATTCTCTTCTGCTTATCCATTAGTCCATACATTCCATCATTCCATATGCTTCCCTGACCTGAAGCATTTTCTATTCCTCTCATCAATTGGATCTCCGATCCAAGTTTTGATCACTCTTTCTTCCTATTTTCCTCTTTTTCTACTTCTTTTTTCCCTGTTGTATTAGCACAAAATGTTCCTGATTTGTTCACACATTTGCTTTTTTTCACTCTTTCCTTTAAATTTTTTCACATTTCGCGGAAGTTTGATTTTGTGAGAAATGACGAGCTGGAAAAAATTGCAAATAGTTTGAGGATTTTGTATTTTTACGAGGACTTCAAAAACCACTAAAGGAAGATCGAGATTTAGCACTTGCATTCACCAGCGGATTTAGGGGGCGGGGCGGACGCCCCCTTCTCTCAGGAATTCGACCCCCTGCCGACCCAAAGGGTCTCCCTTTGTACTATTTTGAGATATCCATTTTTGGTGATGGACCGTTATATTTTTTAAAGGCGCCTTCGGCGCCAATATATACTAAAGGGGGGAGCGCGCGCCAAAAAAAAACGCAGTTTTTTTGGTCAAAATTTTCAAAAATTGCCTAAAAACGCCTTTTTTGGCCTGTTTTTTCAAAATTTGGCAAAAAAAATTTGGCAAAAATGGGGCCTTTTTGATGATTTAGGTGAGCTCAGAAAATCGATTTGGTCGACCTAAAAAAAGTCAGCACAATTTTCGATTTTTTTTGAAAATCCGCCCCCCCCCCCCCTCGAGAAAATACTAGATCCACCCCTGCTTGCATTTAGCATATCTCTTCTCTAAAAATGGAGGTCTTTCAGCAACGTTTTTCACTAGTTTCGATATGGCTAGATAGATCCCTAGATTACTCCGGGAGTTGCTATTTTCCTCAGAGTAATAATTTATGACTTTATGGTTCGATTTTGTTTTTCGACTTTAGGTCAATGTTATAGGTTATAGCTTATATTGTTATATTGCAGCGGAAAAAAACTACAAAAATGAGCAAAATTAGAACCAAAAGATACGTCGATAACTTCCAACGGTCTAAATTATTGTTCGAAACCGAATCATTAAAGTTATTTCTCATAGTTATTTAAAAAATTTTATTGGCATCAATTTTCGAAACCCCAACGATTGCTCTCAAATACAACTTTTTTTAAAATTGTTCAAAAAGTCTTAATTAGTAGCTTGATTGAAAAATGATTAATTTCTCATTTTTTTCCTTCAACGGTCTCGGGACTTATTAGACACAATGCAAATCAAAAAATTCTTTTTCATGCAAATTAAAATGCAAAATGAACAATCGAAATAAATAGCGAGTTAATAGAATTGTGTTTGGTTGTGTTTAGGCGACGGGTCCTTATCAGACTCATCAACAAAAGAGCAGCGGGACAGGGTGCGATTCACAGACGCCAACGGGATCACGCACTACCCTGGCGGAGAGGAAGAGCCGGAAACATTGCCACCAGCGAACAACAAATTCCACAGTCTCAAACACAACAGCAGCATACACTCGAACAACCATATGAACAACTCCAACGCCAAATACTCCACACTTCCGACATCAGCTAATACCGGTGGGGGTGGTGGTGGCAACCCCCCTCTCGGTCAAGGGGGAGGGGGACTCATACAGAATTACAGACCGAACCTACAGGGACAAACACCTACTTCGGCTACTGTCGTGCTGGCCAATGGAAATCTGCCCCAGCAGCCAGCCCAAATTGCCATCACTCCCGACATATACTTCCAGCAACCCCCGGGCGCATCAATAGTCATGAACAACAAGCCACCTACTAACCAACTGCCGCCGGCGGCATCTACCGGCGGTGCGCCAGCGCCTCCGCTACGCAAAACCCAACGACTAAGTCCGATCGAAACGAATGGCGTTCCTCTAGGAACAGTTATCAAACCTAACCAGTCGTCGACAACAAATTTGATTCCACCGAATACAAAGTTTGTCGTGTACCCGCCGTCGGCTTCGTCAGACAAGCAGAGTTCGTCACTGACGAGTTCGAATTCACCGAACATGGCCGAGTGTGTTTCGCCGTTCACCGAATCGATGTCGGGATCTCTCTCGTCGGATAACACGACTTCCAATCGCTCTCAGACTGGCTTTTCGGTGACGTCAGTATGACGTAATAGTTTCATTCCTCCAATTGCAATCCGAATAATCAGTAATGTCAAATTTCGTTGATTCAACTTTCAGTTCGAACGATGATTCTTTGTATAAAGATACAATTTCCAATTTGGTTCACTGCTGTGCAGTTTCTTGCAATTATTTTTGTTTAATTTAAATTGACTAAATTTCAATTAATTTTACTCTTCTTCAAGTAGATTTCGTAATTTTTCACTAGCTAAAATGTATATTTCCAAAGAAAATGTTCGAGAAAAAACTAGTTTTTGATAGCAAATAAAGGACAAGGATAGCCGGTTGCTGTGCAAGTAGCCAAGCCGGATCTAAGATTTTCTCAAGGGGAGGGGTGCAAGTTTTAAAAAAAAACTTGAAAACTTTGACGTATTTTTTTATATTCACCAAATTGATTTTCCGAGTACTCCCAGAAGTATTATCACCCTATTTTGACCAAAAATTTTATGCCGCAGATTTTTTTTGAAAAGTTTTGACCAAAAAAATGCGTTTTTCGGGGCGCGTTTCTTTTGAAATTTAGTATATATTGGCGAAAAACGCGACTTTAGAAAAATTTGAGTTGATTCGTTTTGTATTTGCTGTTTAATTGTTCCAGTTTGATAATTTTTCTGCTTTTAGAGTTTGCAATTCATTGCCGCTCAAATCGAGTGAGCAAAACAAAATTAATCTTTTGTGTTTACTTTGAGTAGCAAATTAATTATCTTTATTTTTCGGGGTCCGCAGCAGGCGCGCGGATCTAAGATTTTCTCGAGGGGGCAGATTTTTTTTAGGTCGACGAAATTGATTTTCTGAGCTCTGCCAAACCACTATAAAGACCCTAATTTAACCAAATTTTCTGCGCCGAGGCAAATTGAAAAAAAATACCAAAAAGGCATTTTTAGGCATTTTTTGGAAAATTTCTACCAAAAAATTGCGTGTTTTCGGCGCGCGCTCCCTCCTCAAAATTAGCATAGATGGGCACAGAAGGCGCCTTTAGAAAAACCTTTAGAAGGTCAGTCAGCCAAAAATGGATATCTCAAAATAGTACAAAGGGATCGTGTATCGTTTTGAGTCGGCAGGGGGTCGAATCCCTGAGGAGGGCGTCCGCCCCCTCCCCCGCTGCTGGTCCGCAGGATAACATCTTCCTCCAATAGGACTGTGCGCGTTAATGCCAATATCCTAATGTTCAAATGAAATTAAAACATGTTCACTTCCGCTGCTATTCTTCTGCTGCTGAACTATTTTCAAGAGTTTTTGCGAAACTTCCTGAAGTCAACGAAACTTTGCATCACTAATGGACAGATTGGTTAAAACTGAAAATTGAACGTTGAAAGACCCATCCTCAAATAACATCATGGATGCCTTTTTTTGACAAAATCTTGGATGCCTCGTTTGTTAAAGTCTATCAAATATTATTAACTCTCATTTTTCTACCATTTTCGCTTATTATGATTGTATCGTCTACCATAAACGCATGATTTTTAGAATGAGAGAAAGATGAAAAATATCTACTCTTATATCAGAAAATCTAATTGGAAAGTATCTGAAAATTTTTCAAACACAATTTCAGCAAGTGAAGAGATGAGTTTTGGTTGCAATTGAAACCCAAAACATTGGTAGAAACTTTCTTTCTTTTCAAATTGAGATTTATCAGATGTGGATATTAAGAACTCAATACAATATGATTCGATTTGATTCGTTTCGTCTTTACAGGTTAATTGTTTCTATCAGGTTGCTTTCTTAGTTTTTCAGGTTGCAATTTATTGCCGCTCAAAATAAGCGAGCAGAGAAAAATAATTCTTGTGTTCAGGTCGAGGAGATATATATTTTTAAAATTTTTTCAAGGGTTTGAAAAATATCTGTTTTCTTTTATTTGATTGTACAAATTAGTATCAGTATCCAAATGTTCAGTGGAGCCTGAAATATTTCCAGTGTTATTATTCTGCTGCTTAACTGTTTTTAACTACTTTTGTGTAGCTGCTTAAAAGGAATCAAACTTCTTTTATCCCAAAGAGGCTTAATCAGATCGCAAAATTACAAAAGTGAACGTTGATAAAATCATTCTCATAAATTTTCTTTCTCAGATAGAACCATTTTCTAGACTGTGTAACTCACTGAATAAAAATTAAAAATTTTAGATCAAATCGATTTTTTTAATCTCTGGTTAATGATAACCTTGACGTTGTCAATAACTCAAACTTTGTTCAATAAATTTTTTAGTATCATTTTTCTACTGGGAAATTTGGTTTGTGTTGTAACAGGTAGTAGAGCTTAGGAGAAAATTGGTTGTTACTAGAAAACAAATGACAAATGCAGACATCAGACCGACGGGGATTTAAACCGAATCGTGAAGTTAAGGAACTCAAGCCGATATTTTCTCAAACAACCCCAAGTTTTGAGTCACAAAAATTGTGTTTATTTTGAAAATTGTTCTGAAGAATTTTTCATTTACGCGACCTTTCTTTGCCACTTATTGACTCAAAAGTTTTAAGCGTATAATAGATGGATAGGAACCTATAAAACTGTAACATTGTAAGAAGGATTCTTAATTACAACATATGCGTTTTGAAATCCGGCTGGAATAATCAATGATAGTTATTCCTAGGATGCGAATTTTTATTTAAAAAAAGGCTTCTTAAACTCTTGTCTGAACTTTTAAAACTTCTCTAAAAAATCACATTGTACAGCTAAAAAAGCTTTTAAGTAATTGTAAAGTTTAAATTTCCTTTTTTAAATATCCGGCGCCCTGTTGTCCTATGCCTCTAAAATGTTCAACACAAAAAATCAAAGTAAGGCATAAAGTTTGCATAAGAACAGTATTGCTTTAAAAATGCATTGTGCTAAAAACAATTTCAAGTTTTGTTTTTCAAAAAACAAATCTTTACTTATTATCAAAAAATTTCCTGAAATATTTTTCGGAATCCTATTGATAAAAGGAAGAACTTAGTTCAAAGAAGAACTTAGTTTTTGCAACGTTAAGTTTTGCGAACTAAGCAAACAGAAAAAAACAAGGTTTTTCAGTTGTTCTTATTCAGGTTGTCTTGATCACGAATCACAAAACCTCAATATTGTATGTTTTGAGGCTTTGAATGAACTTTTAATAGTTCTCGGGTTTGTCTGAAAAACAACCTTAAACACGTTTTATTACTCCCAGAAAATTGAAAGATATCATACCACAACTGCGCCGACAAAACTCGAGTCATAAACTGACAAAACTAGAAAAAACTTACTTCTGCATTGAAGTCAAATTTAAGCATTTTCACCAATAGTGAACGTGCTTTAGATGCTTGCTATTACTTTGTAAATTTCTATGAGAAGGTTTTAAAATCTTCATAAGCAACAGATATGTTGTCAAATGTGATATCTTATTGTCGACATTTTAACCTTTAAGTTATAGTCAGTTATGACCATGCCAATTTAAATACCTGCCAAAAGCGCAACGGCTTTTGGTAGAGCTAGAGATTGTTTCATTGTCAATTTTGATCGCAATTAATTCTGTGCAATTAACTCTTAATTCAACTTTTTTACTTAACTCTTAACTTAACCTAGTTACCTTAGTCTTTAATATAGTCTTAGATAAAGCCTACAACTAAATTGTAGGAATCTTAAGCCAAACAGTCTTAAAATAGACTTAGTTTAATTTTAACCAATTTTAACCAACAGACGGTTTTATCCTAATTTTTTAACATGGCGCAGTCAAACGAGTCGAACCTACGAGGACTAGAGTTTTTTTGGAACAACACATTGAGCGAAAATCAACACGAGTGGGAAAAGTGGTCAGAAAAGTTCTAACTAACAATCATCGCGAAAGATTCCGTGGATATTGAAGACGTAATCAACCCACCGGCAAGACCCGAACTAGCATACCCTATGGCCGAACCAACGGATCCGTCCGATGATCAAGCCCGTCGGGCAGAAAAAGATGAACGTCACGGAATAGCTATCCAAGATTACAACGAAGAAATGAGAAGGAGAAAGGCAGAAGACAACGCAAAATTCAACGAACTTTAAATCGGAGATATCGACAAGAAAATAAAATCGCACTTATACCTGGCACTTGGAAGAGAAGGACAGAAATGCTTCTCACATAAAAATTCTGGGAAAAAAACACTGGATATTAACTTTGCTGAATTCTGGGAATTACTTAAAACTAATTTTACGGTCACAACAAATCTAACATACGAAAGATTTAAATTCTTTTGCCAAATACAGAAAGAAAATGAGTCTTTAGAGAAATTCCACGAAACACTATCCGAGTTGGCAAAAAATTGTACACTGGGAGAGCTCGAGTCAGAATTAGTCAGAGACATTTTCATTTTAAATATGCGAAACGTCGAGATACAAAAGAAACTATGCATCGAATACTTGACTCCAGAAAACGTACTATCCTACGTAATAGTCCATGAGACAGGTAGCAAAATTCATCAACAGTACCTGAAATTCCCTGCCTGTAATGCGGTACAAAGACCACAATACATAAAGAATGAACCGACCTTAAATATCATCGAAAACAATAAGTGTTGCAATTGTGGTCAGCAGTTCAAGAAAGGACACCTAACTACATGCCCAGCCAGAGATAGAAACTGCAATACGTGCGGCCATAAAGGCCACTTTGTAAAACATTGCAGGAGTACAGCAAGAACGCAAACAAACATTGTCGAAACAAAACCCATGAAAAAGAAAATACCCCGGTTAACCCGCAGGAGAATCCCGAATTCGAAGTCAACTTAGATGATTTTTTAGTTCTAGCGGGCGCTGGACACGGATATTCAAATAAATGCAGTTGAAGATAAGATCAAACGTGGAGTGAGAACCGTATTTAATCACGAAGGCCTAGAACTAAAAAAGACGTTGATGGTATCTCTGGGAAATTTCAACCCCTACTGCACCGAAATTCAGATTGACTCAGCAATCCCAGTCTCATTCATGAAAAAAGACCTACTCCATGAACTGAAGATACGAGATAGATTTTTAAGTTAGAAAATGTAGACGAAATAACAAAGAAAGCGTATCAGGGCTTCGGGAGCACAAACATTATTGGAAGAGTTCGGGTGAGAATTCGATCGAAGGGTTGGGACGCTAGTGATCAGAAACTTTTCCTTACCGAAGGAGCAGAAAGAAATCTCCTCGGAAACGACATATTACCGAACCTGGGAATCGTAGTACTCCAGAAACAACCCCCACCCAATGGGTCAGAGCTACGGATAACCCAGAAAAGATCACTCATCGGGACAGACGTCAATCAAACAAAATTTG